AGAAACCGCCCGACGTTTTCGACTACTGCAGCACTTACTAGACAAACGATCTAAGCTTTCAATCAATTATAAACGACTCGTATATATGACAATAATAAGACCTATTTGGACTTACGGAATTGAGCTTTGGGGCTCCACTAAACCATCGAATTCCTCTCGTATCCAATCCTTACAATCCAAAATCCTTCGTAAAATCCTCAACGCTCCTTACTTTGTCACAAATAAAATCATCCATAAAGACCTTAATGTTCCATATGTTTCCGATCTGGCCCAATCCAGATACCTTTCTTTCCATAACAAACTGCAGAATCATCCGAATCCTCTCGTTTCAAACCTTGCTTCCTCCTCGATCCCTGATAATCCTCCGAGGCGTCTGAAAAGAAGATGGCCTCGGGATCTTCTAATATAGAACTTTAATTTGAGTTCTACCAATGGGTAGTTTCTCTTCATGTTGTACATGCCATGTTACAAATTTCTCATTTACTTATTGTATTCTCTATGTAATACAGTTGTAAATTCCATTGAAATAATAAAAAAATAAAAATAAAAATAAATTGTTTTACGTGATATTGTTATTAATATTATAGGTGTCATTCTTGTCTTAAGAATAGGCGAAATTGTCCGAAACGTTGTCGAATACAAAAATGAATAACAGTTTTTGTGAAGGAAAAGGGGTTATTAAAGGTTTTCCTCGAAATAATAAAACTAGATTAATCAATACATTTTAATCTTGAGTATTTTATGGCGGATCTCGTTTGAGAGGATGAATTACCTAATATGAAGGAAGGGGGTGGGGGTTATTTGTTGACCTTATAAATCTTAAATTATTTTGGCAGCGAAATTCAATCATGTGGATAAACTAATTTCGATTACCCGCTATCGTTTAATATTAACTTTATAACCCTCTCGAATATCGTATCTTTCGATACGGCCTGCCAGTGTTTGATATTCTTTGTTGTAATTTTCCCTCCATTGATTGCTAATCATAAATTGTATACTAAACTTTGAGTGATGTGAAATCTGATTATGTATTTATGGGAATTTTCTTTAATCTCTATGACTGAAGTAAAATCTTATCACTTACCTTCAAGAAAGCAAATAATTTTGTAATGCCTGCAGGGTTACATATTACCACCACTTTCCGTTTGAAAAAAATAAATGTCAGTTTTAAAATTTAGCATTGAGCTAGGAAATACGAAATTAAATCTAAGAGAAAAAACAGGTTTTAAGATAAAATGAAAGATGATATGATAGAGAATATTAATGGTGGAACTGGAATATATAATAACTATAAATCATGTATTATCATTAAGTGCTTTCTGAACAATGGCGTTCGTTCGAGATACCCAACGGATTTATTTCCTGAAATGAATTTTTCCTCTTCTTATTTTTTTGGAAAATGATATTAAATAGCTCCAGTTTTTACTTTTTTACCTATACTAGGTAAGGAAAGTATTGGGATCAGGTCAAATTTCCGATATGTGGTTTTCGACGCCATTGGTCTGTCTGTCTATCTGTCTGTGCCAAGATTTTATCAGGAACTACTGAACCGATTTTGTTGCTTCTTTTTTTTTATTTTGTAGGATTTTGACTACTGATGCCGGTGACAGAAATTCAGTCCTCTATGCGCAATAGCTTGTGTACAATAAATGAAAAACATGGTTTTCTATAGACTATAGCGCGAAAAGGGCTCTAACTATCTTGATAAAACTTTCCTATAATGTTATAATAATTAAACTATTTTTTGAAAGGTAATGAAATTCCCTACAAAACTATATAAAAATCGTTCATTTTGGACAACTATTAACGAAGTTACAGCTATTCAATTTCCAATGTAAGATTACGGATTCATATCCTGATGTCAGAAAGGAGTGAATGAGAGAATATGTGAAAGTAAGGAAATCTGTTGCCCGCATCACGCAAGCTTCACTATTTTGCTCTACTTTTAATAGAAATTATTGTTTGACAAAATTAAGCTATGGAAAAAAGTTTTTGATCAGCAATATTAGAGAATATTGAAATTTTTACACTGATGTACCTTAAGGCGGTTTACATTGCTTTAATTTATCAAATAAATCATACTCAAATCTTTTCTTAGATGAATTTTCAGAAAAATAAATCTAATTCAATTTTTTTTCGTTCCTTCATGAACATATGTAAAGATATAAAAACTTTTCTGAAATAGGTAGAAAAGTCGTGTGATTGGACACACAATGTTTTTTATTTTATTATTTAATAAATAATAACACAATCTGCCACACCTAAGGGCAATAAGTATTAGGACTAAAGGTCCGTTCAATATATTTTATTTATTTATTTACAACAATGGCGGGGCTCCTCAAGCTCTTACAAAATATTTATTTTACATTGATTTTAGATGAAATTAAATTTAACAATAAATTGAAAGCATAAAATATTTAAAAAAAAGAGTCAGCAGATTTTAAATTTTGTCGTAAAGGTGCGTTATTTGAAGAAATGTAAAGACTTTTTTTGCCAATTTGGTAGTATTTTTTAGAATTTCAGTTATATCGTTCTCCAATTCAACTTTATTACGTTGATTTTCATATCCATAACATTCAAAATGTGACTGACTGTTAAAGTATATATAAATATATACTTAATATATATAATATATATATATATATATATATATATATATATATATATATATATATACTTAATATATAAAAATCAAGATATATAAATTTAAGTAATTAAGAACAAGCAGGATCTGGTAGGGGTTTTAGGGCAATCAATAGCTAGATTATTACACCCGTGTAACAAAAATAAAATATATAAGAAATTAACAACAAATAATAAATATAAAACAAATATAATATATACATAATAGATATATACAAATATATATAGATATAACAAATATAAAGTAAAGATGAACAAACCAATATATAAAATAATAATAAGTAGTAATAAAGAAACTGTAATGATAAAGGTAAAAAAAAAAAAAAATATGACTTCACAAGTAAAAGGTTATAGGCATGGTGTCCCGTAACTAGAGAGAAATATTTAAAAGGTTGATAGTAGACATCAAGATCTACAAAAAAGTTCTTATCAACAATTGCCCCATTTCTAGCAGAAAATTAGGAACGGAAGAAGAGTTTGTCAGTGTTAAAACTATTTAAAGAAGACTATTGAGTGGATAAACACAGCTAATTTCCGTTTACAAAAAAAGTCATAAATTATTTGCGATTTTTTTTTATCATCTTTTAACTGTTCTACACTTACCCCACTTTTATAAAAAGTTTCTCATTTAATAAGCGTTAAGTCCATTTTTGGATTAAGAATCTCAAACAGCAAATCGCAGTTTTTGGTTTTCTTTCAAAAATAAATAAAGTCGATATAATCCGGTCATTTGGCTTCCAAAATGGATCAGTGGCAAGTCGGTGGATTGGAAGGGATTAGCATAAGTCGGTTTAGAAGACTGACGTGAACATCACCCTTCTGAAAGTACTGGGCTGTATTAAAGCTCTAAAGTCCTTCATTTTCGAGATAATGAAGGGTAGCAGATGTTTTCCGATTAATTAGTTAGTGTGTTTTAAAATCTCTTAAAACTTATTGTTTTATAACTTATGACAAGAAAAATGTTGGTGGATAGATCAATTTGTTTTCAAAAAATACCTTTGGGTACGTAATTTAACAACAACGTTTTCTCATTTCATTACCAAAGTAAATAAATCCAGCGAAACCTTGCGAGCTAGCTGTGTGATAAAGGTGTGTTTTGGGATCTCGATCGTGGTATAAAGTAGATGAAATATAGAAGCGTACGTTTAGTTCAGGGTTATAAATTCCCACTGCGAATTGCAGAGGCACATCGCTACCGACAGGGTAACGTCTCTGGGGTCTGAGAAAATAAATAATTCCTGCCCCCTCTGGAGTTACTAAATGTTAAGGATCCTATAGCATTCCTTTTTATTTTTATTTACGATTGTGTATATTTAATTTATTAATAATGTTACGACCATGGTTTTACCGAGCAATAAATTCTTATATTATCAATTCAAATATTTGTCCATAATTCGGTAAGTTAACAAGTTTTATCTAGGTCCTGAAAATAATCTATTTTATTTTAACGGTTATAGTTCAATATAAAACATGTTCCGTCATATCTGCTTTATGTTGTTTGATCATTTCAGGTATTCATTATATGTTATAAATAGAAATGGGCACAGTGATGATTTATATTTTTAAAGGATTATTGAGCATAATAGCGGTCGATTAAACTCTTAAGTCAACATCCAAAAGACTTTTTTGAGATATTTCACTCAATAAATATCTATTACCAGATAATTACAGGCATTCATTCTAACAGACCTTTAATAGCCGCGAAAAAAATGTATTATACACATTTTCAAAAAACCCTTATGTTATCATTTTTGCCTTCGCTTTGCCCGGCTTTATTGCTTATTACATACCAATCAGTTTATTTTTTTGTGCAGAATAAGAAAAAATATTTGATATATAAATTATATAAACCAAAAGGCATTTCCAGTAAAGTAGGCCAAGTTAAGTTTTGTTCATGAAAATGCAAGTTAGTTTTTAGACTCCTTTAAAATTCTTAAATATGAATTTTCATAGAAATAAAAAAAATATTAGCTTAAGTATTTAATTTTCTTGGGTGTTTTTTTTTTTTTCTTTTTCCAGCCGTCAATTAAAGCATTCATAACTTCTCAAGATTTTCTCCATATTTTACAGTAGTAATACAGTTGGAAAGACGAATTACTGTTTTTCGAACACATTTCAATAATTGTCACATTCTTTTCCTTTATAACATATAAGTCAGGACAAACTTGTCGAACGTTTTTATTTTATATCTTTGGTTCAAATAAGTATTGGTTTCTGCGAATTGGAATAGTATTTAAGGTCATGAAACCCTGAACATTTTAGTGTAGACCAGTGGATTCCTGATATAAGTGCGTTTGTAAAACTATTATATTTTATTAGAGAAGGGATGGACGAAAGAAGGAGCGGCAATGTTAAAATTAGTTTTCTAAAAAAATCAATATTTTGATTTCATTATTTAAATTATGTACTTTTGTTATTTAATTTTTGTATGGTAGAAGTCTTTCAATGAGTTATGAAGGAACCTTTTACTGATTTTTTTCCTTGTAATTTCAACCGTTTCTCTGACCATTTTCTATTCGGTATATCCTTTTCAAACATGTAAATACTCTCAAAATTAAACTCTTTTTCTTTTTTATAATTTTTACGTATGTATACTTACCTTTTCTTCGTGAAGTAATCCCTCAGGAGGTTTGTGAAGTTGTCTGAATGTTTCTATGATAAGTTATTTTTTTTAAACAAGACACATAATCATGTTCTAGATCCGTGTTGGTCTCATCTTGACTTAACGAGCGATATCTAGGGCATAACTAATCACATCAGAACAGCAGTCACTAATCAAGTACAATGATTAGGTCTAACAATATAATGATTTTGTAACTGTAATCTAATGGGGTTTTTGTGGGAAAGCTACGGAGTTGGTTATTTACTGGTATTATTAAAACTTTAGCCAAAGCTTTAAAATATAGAAAATTAAAAGTCTATATTTATCATATACACATTTTAGGTTCTAGCTAAAATGCTAAAATTGTAACTTAAAAAAGACAGCTTATGTTTTTTTTTTTTTTTTTTTTTTTTTTTTTTTTTTTTTTTTTTTTTTTTTTTTTTAAGAAGAATTTGGTCGGGGGTGCAGTGAATATATGAGCTTTTCAGTTCGAATTTCAACATTTTTGATGTTGGAAAATTTATAACATGTGTATAGACAGTGAGTAAGTTGATTACAGAATAGGTGATTCTTGAAATATAGACCTGTGAATCAAGGTGCAAATATTCCCATTACAAATATTACTAAAATTAATAATCAAAAATGTTGAAATTAGAGTTAGTCATTCTGCCAACTGGAAGGCTTATATACTACTATACCTTATAATAGTATTTTTTATTATATTTTCAAATATTTCGACGTATGTTGTCGGTCTTCTTCAGGACGTTCCATCTGGCACTGCCGGAAGCATTTGGGAGACTTGTAGTCTGATGTCTGATATTGTGGAAGAAATTCACTTCCATAGCTTCAATTTTTAAGTTTTGTTTTTGTTTAAAGCTGACGTTTCGGTTCTATATGTGAACCCTCCTCAGAGCTCTTGAATTAATCATTGCAGTTGATTTAAGTGTTTTTATAATATAATTTTAATATTATTTTTTTTAAATATATTTGGTTATAAATAAAATACTAAAAAAAAATAATTCTAGCCTGGCGTTTTTCAGAATTAAGGTGTAAATTAATTTTTAGAATTTGACATACTAAAACGATACTATACTATATACTAAACTAACCTACACTAAACCGAGCAAATCCTTTTTTTTTATTTATTTGGATATTTATTGAATATTTCTGAATATATAGTTATTGAATGTAACTTATATACAACTTGAACTGGAAGGACTAATTGTTAGAAACTGTAACATTAGTTTCATGTCAATGAAATGAGAATATAAGGCGACTTTTATTATATAAACGCTTTTATGTCGTTTAAAAAGTTTTCTAGATTACGGGCGTTATCTTTATTCAAGCAAATATATAGCAAATCTTATAAAATTAATTCAATTTTTTATAAATTGCTTATTTTATGTACACGATGGCGATGAAATTAAACGAAACATCTTTTTAAATTCTGAAGCGTATTATATTGAACATTACATAGTGGCCAAAACGGTGTGGCCGTACGGTTTTATACTGAACATAGATTCGTATTTATTAATACCAATAAAATTAAATAAAAATACAGCATGAAGAAAAAGAAAATTTAAACAGCAAGTAAAGCATCAAAATTCAGACAAAATGAAAACGGATTTCATATAAAATTATATCAATTAGATTGGGGGAGTATAATGTAACAAGGGGTACCCACCCATCCCCTCAAGGTTGATAGCGTAAGAACCTACCCCCACCCACTCCTCGCCTTCTTCCAAGATATTTTATTGCTCGCCTTTTCTTATAAACAGAGCAAGCTAAGGAGTAGAATTAGAAAAATAATATATCATATACAATTACACTTACTACTGTCTGTTCTATGCTTTCACTTTGTCCCTTAGCCCGAAAGTTGATAATCATTTCGAAAGTTGGCCCCTCAAAAACCCGTCAAAATATGCCCCCTAAAAATTTTTGATGGTGTAACTTGTGCCATGAAACCCCCTTTTGGGCACCCCTGATTGGCGGGATAAAGTTCCTGAGGGAGGCAGCTCGATTTGAAGAGGACTTGCGAACGCAGCATTTCGGAGGAGAGAACGATAGAAGACAGAAGGACGAGATCGGACGGGTTAGGGTTGTAAAAAAGATTTAGATTGTAGACTCTGTAGTACGTAGGATGGGCGCTGAGTTTTGATAACTTGGCATGTGAAGGACGCAAAAAAATCCTGACACCTTTACTGACAATGTACAAAAAAAAAATCTTCTCCATAAGCATAACCTATTGGTGATTCATGGGTACTGAATAGGTACTTCTCTATAAAATTTATCATTATGTTATAAACAGGAAACAAATTACTATCAATAATAGTAGTATTATAGCATTTAATGTCGCTATAATTGTAGGGAATCATGAATAGAACGTTTCAGATCGAATGTACTGAAGCAGATAGGATGCATTCATCTAAAACAGGACTTCACGGCTACACGCGATGTGTTGTAATCATCATTAACCTGTGCTAGGTCATTGGATTGCATGTTTTTGCTTTGTAGGACGATGCATTCCACTCTGAAGATTATTGTTCTTATTATAATTTATTGGTATCATTTATATTGTTATTGTCGACTTGTGATAATTATTTGTATTTTATGTGTTCTATATTTCGGAATAATATTATACAAGATAATCATCACTCGTCTCATTACGTTAAAATAATAATATACTAAAGTGATAGTAGTAATACTGGCTGTTCAGTAAGGACTCAACTAAGAATGCCAAGGGGCCGCTGGAAATTTCTTCTATGTTTTTTTGAGGATCGACTTTCTAATAATTAACAAATATGATATTAAATATTTAATAGTTGACCGTTGCATTATAAAGGAATGAGATGATCGGTGGTGGCGGTCATAAATAGGTCGAAAGTGGCTAGTAATAAAATAGTTTTGCCACTATTCAGCTTATTTATGACCGCCACCCCGGACTATCTCCTTCCTTTAAATATGATATTAATATGATCGTTTTTTTTTTTCATTATATTTTATCACTATTAAAGACACTTGTAATAGCGATAAAGGAGTCCATTCACATTTTGTGTACAATGAATAAAAATAAATTAAATGGAAAAACAAAGAGTAATTTTTCATTTGCGTCTGCTATTTTTCGCTTGCTTTTGACTGGAACGATTTATTTTCTTGGATGTTTGGGCAGTCTCCTACTATCCCGTTAATCCAAAAAAGTTATTTATGGATAGAAATCTTGTAAAAAAAAAAAAAAGAAATCTTATAAACAAAAAAGAAAGTTGGAAAAAAAATCAAAATATATATTTACAATAAGGGTGTGGAAAAATTACACAAACATTTATTAACAAAGTTATTGTTCTCAGGAACGAAGGACTTTTATGAATGAAGTATCAAACGAAAGAGAATTTCGGGTAGAAGTGAGGAATGCCAACTTCAAAACATAAAATCTAACCAAAATTACAGTAAATGTAATTGAAAAAAAAAATAGGGAGATCTCAAAACTCAGATGTTTCAATGGTCGACTGACGAGATCAAATAATTGGTGTCTTAAATGTTTTGACTCTGGCATCCATCTCTTAGATGTTACGGTCGTCAAGAGAAACTTATCTCATCATTAGGTTGTAAGAATTAAAATATTGTTTTTTATCATTTTATTTGACGAGCTAAAAATCTATCGAAAAGGTGATTAGAGAGTAATAGCTCTATGATTCCTTAGTACTTAGAATAATGAAGAAAGAAACTTTGATATTTTTAGAAAATAAAACTTCTGTACTCGTATTTAATGGCGAAAGTAATAAAGGCTTTTCTGCATCAACCAAATAAATCTTGAGTGGATATAATAATGGATTTAATATAAGTTCAGGATAGCTGTGTCTTGTAGCTTGATTAATTAACTGAAGGGATATTTTCCAATGGGACGAGCTAATTACCTATTTAGTAAATTGTTAGTTTAACAGTTGTGGTGTAGTATGAAGCTACACCATTCGTGTGTGTGTTCGAAGGACTATCTTTTAAACATCTTTCGCTGAATTAACTTATACGTCGAATGCTTTAAGCAGGATAATAGTCAACTTATTAACAATCAACTGAAACTTCGTGAATAGCTTCATCTCATCGTAACCTACAACTATTTTATTTACCAAAATTCTTGATAGGCAAACTTTGTCTATTTAATTTCGTACTAAATACTCATTTGCTTTTTACTTGAATCGTAAGATTGATCGTAAAAAACGTGGCCTACAGAAATATTAAGTCGTTTGGAGTGACCTACACTCCCAACATTACAAAATAACGAGGTCATATAGGCTAAACTACCAAGATGTTTGTAGGCCATCTTTTTTATCGATTTTGTGATCAAATTGTGGAAAGCAAATTGGTGTTAACGAGTTTTTAGTATCTAATTAAGTAGATAATGTTTGCCAAGAAAACGCCTCCATTCCGAGAATTTTCGTAAATAATATAACTGTAGGTTACGATGAGAAGTTTCAGGCGGATGTTAGTAAGTTGATAAAAACGTGTCTATACCACGTACTGTAACTATCTAATGTGAAAGTTGTTGCTAGCGGATACTAAATATTTCGAGTCTTGTTTAGGTAAGACAAATTTTCGTAAAACTTTAGAAATCATAGTTTTAAATGAAATTTTATCTTCCAAAAGTTGTCTCAATAAATTCTTTGAAATTCTAGTCTAGTATAGGGGAGATTAGGTACGGTTTTGACAATTTTCATTTAATCGTCCTCAATTTTGATGGTATACAAATAAAATAAAAGAAAGATGTTTTTTATAGTAAAGTGTAGACATGACTACCTATAAATACTAGGACTTGTTGAAATCCATTATATTTTATGTATCGTATAAATCATTTTTAGTTTAACCAAGATAAGATCTTATATCATAGAATTATGGTTTTGACAAATTTATTAATAGAACTTTTATAATAATTACTTTGCAATTC